GAGAAGGCTTTGCTGTTGTGGGAAAGTGGCTGCATCCCCCAGAACTGCGTCTGCTGCCTATTTTTGAGCCACTTCAAGGCTTTCCCCAGAATGGCCCCATTGATATCAGGCTGTGAGCTGCTTCTTGTTCTCCAGGCACAGTTCCAGTGCCAGGCACAGTGGTCCTCTGCAGCTCGGCCCACGTAACTCACATCTCTAAGACCAAAGCCTGGCATCTTCACTCCAGTGCTTTCAATGCCCTGCTTGGCAGGAAGCTTAGCTTACCAGGTGAATTTTTATAGGAATGGCCTTGGACAATTTGACAGGGGCATGTCCCAGTGAGGACAGCATGGCGGGTGGACTGACCAGCATGCAGAGATGCCACTTTACAGAGAGTGGCCCTGCCTTTGTCCCCATGACTGTGAGTTAGGCCATACCTGGCTTCTGTGCTCCCAATGAGACTTGACGCATGTGGGTTCTACTCAGTGTCCACGGCCCACGCACCTGGTAAGCACACCAAGACAGTCCTAAGTCAATCTGGACTCCCCTTCCAAATAGCGGCCCTAAGCACTACGGGATGCCGCAGGCCTAGCAGGAAGGACTGGAATGTTCCAGGGAAGTAGCTGGAATTTGTGCCGTCAGGACTGGACTCTAGTCCATCCTCTGTCCAGCCTGCCGGGCACTGCACAACCTTCTCCCTGAGGACATCCAGTTTCCTCCATCACCATGCCTTCCAGCCAACCCTTTGTACTCCAAGCTGTTTGCTGCCATGGTGTCTGCACGATGTGGATTCCTCTGCCTGCAAGTCTCTCCCAGCCTTTCCCAGCCTTTGCCTGATTGACCCCAATTCTGCGTAAATGTCATTCCCTCCACGAGGTCTTTTCTGACCCCCAAGAACAGTTTAGGTCCCCAGTTTTTCCTCTGCATTCACAATGTACCTTTCCTTCTACGCTTATTTATCGCTTATTCTAGTCAGATGCTGTTCAAAGTGCTTTCTATATAGTAATTCACTTACTCCTAACAAAACCCCTAGGCCGTAGGTACTATAGTATTTGCGTAATTATTAGGAAGTTATTGGCCATATGCTCCACTTGGTTTGCCTTCCCTTTTCATCTGTTTCCTCCTGGCTTCCCTGTATTTGTTTGCTTTTGCCCCCTGTGTGCACAATGTGGCACCAGGCAGAGAATCCAGCAGGAGAGATTTGGATCAAACCAGAGAAAGTGTCTTCACACTGTTGGGGCTGCAGAGCCCAGGACCGTCCAGGGGACCTGAGCACAGGTGTCCACGGGAGATGCTGCTGTGATCCTCACACTTCAAACTCAGCGCTGGCTAGAGAGAGGGGTGAGTGACAGGCGTCTGACGGTCCTCTTGGTGCTGATCTGTGATTTCATATATAAAGAAGCGGATTCCTTATTCTGTCTGTATATGAAAGAGCAAATGATCACATTGAGCACGGAGCCTCCATGAATAAGTGGCTATTAATAGACATTCGCTAAATGCCAAAAAAAACCTTTGGACATTGTACCAAAACAAAGAATTAGATAAGGTCTTTGCTAGGATAACAGCTCTTCCTAGGGGGCACAGAAAATAAATTCATTGAGTAAGTGACCAAAAAAAAAAAAAAAAAAATCACAGGTAAAGAACATAAATGCAGTCAGGGTTCTGACCCTTTTGAAAAAATTTCTTACATATTTCTTTTATATGTCATGATTTATATATAGAATGTGGCATTCACTTTCCTAAAAGGATTCATAAGCTCTTACCCAAAAGCCTTTGCAGACAGGAAAATCATGATGGGCCATTTCATTTGACCTTCCTGAGTCTTGGTTTCTTTATTTGTAAAAATGAGTCAAGTGCAGTTAGCAATCAGGCCAAGAGTGATGGGACAGCACCCCTCTGTGTGATTCCAGCAGCTACTGACACAGTGAAATGCTTCCCTAGTGGCTGTCCCACTGAAAGTCCCCATTGTCTGTGGACACTCTGGACATGCCTTCCCCCCGCAGGACCCCCCGGACCTCTCCATAATCCAGCTGTGTATGTATCATTCCGGAGTTTTGCAGGATGCAGGCGGCCTACTCAAAAGTGTGGCTGAAGAGAGATTAATGGGAGCTCAGATATGATGATGTGCTTGAGGTTAAAGAAAACAAGCAAGGGTTGGTGAGATGCCCCAGGTCTAGCAATACTGGGAAGCTGTTAATACCCCTCTGGACTTGTGGAGGGAATGGCATTTAAGCAGAGTTGGGGTGAATCAGACGAAGGTTGGGGAGTGCTGGGAGAGACTTTGGGGCAGACGAATCCACATCACGCAGACACCATGGCAGCAAATGTCAAAAGTGATGGAGTGTTTATGAGAATCTGGTTAGATTTGTGGCCATGGAGAGAAGCCACTGATGGGAACTGAGGATTTTATAGAGAAATATGGACTCTGCTGACTCCTGCTGAGCAGGAAGGGGCCCAAGGGAGGAGTAGCCCAAATTCTCTTTTCTCTCCCTTCCACTCTTCTGCAGGTGTCCCCCATTAGCGGGATCCAGCCTGGAGCTAGACAGTCAAGGGGTCTGTTTGAGGCTGGCAGTTAAGGTCAGCCTCCTAGGTGCAAAGCAGGATGGAGGAGGATGAAGAATTGATTTGGTGGGGCAAAAGAAGGTGCTCAGTCCTATTCAGTTAATGCTTAGCACAGCTGGTTCTGCAGGCCTGCTTCTGGGAGCTGGAGTCTGCCCTGATCCCTTGGCATACCAACTGCAGAGGATTTGTTTACTGTTAAAAAGCTTGATCTTAGAATATAATGCTCTCTTTTCCTCTTTGCTTTAGAGAGTCATGTTTAGCCTGAAGAGAACAGGAAGCAACTCCTTCTGCTCTTAAGGTATTAAGTCTTTTTTTTTTTTTTTTTTTTTTTTTTTGCCACAAGGTCTCACTCTGTTGTCCCGGCTGGAGTGCAGTGCCATGGTCACATCTCACTGCAGCCTCGAACTCCTGGGCTCAAGTGATTCTCCCACCTCAGCCTCCCAAATGACTGGGACTACAGGCATGTGCCACTTTGCCTGGCTAATTTTTATATTTGTTTCAAAGGCACAGGTTTTTTGCCACATTGCCCATGCTGGTTTCAAACTTCTAGACTCAAATGATCTATTTACCTCAGCCTCCCAGGGTAGTAAGTCTTTAAGTAAGAGATGGAAAAGGACTATGGCTCACAGGAGATCCAGCCCAGCTCCTGGGCTAGGGGTTCCACCTAGGTGTTTGCAGTCAAAGCTTTACAGGAACAAGCTGAGTGTATTTACCTACGATATTTCCTTTATCTTCTCTTTGCTAATATGTGTTAGAGGCAGGTAAAAATTGAGCAATGCACGGGGTCTCAGCCATCTCTTTCTGGCACCTGTCAGCAAAGAAAGGTCTAATTGCTCTGCTCATTCCCACTGCAGAGCTTCCCTCATGTGGCTTCCCCTGCAGAGAGGCCTGACCTTTTTCCATCCACATCTTACTGTCTCCCGGCCCCTTCCTCAAGTCCTGGCTTTCCCTGGCCCTCCCAGCTGTCCCCACGCCGCTCGGTTTGTGTTGACCTCCCTCCATCCTTAGAATCTGTACACCACCATTTGCCATGTCCTCTGGCTCTGCTGTCTTCTTAATAAGCCTCTATTTACTGTATCAGTATGTATCAGTGCTGCAGTGCAGAGGGGCCCTTGCGGAGGAGACCCTGAGCAGGGCTCCCGCATCTCCCAACACACCGGGCACAGTACTGAGTCCACAGTGGTGCTCCTGAAGGAAGACGAGGCCACTGATGGACTGTTGTGAGCTCCCCTATTTCAAAACCACCTAAACACCCGATGCCAGGAGCTCTGCACTCATAGTAGCGAGAGTCTGAAGGCTCCCAAAGGAAGAAGTCGCTTCTCTTCACAGTTTCCTTTCTCTAGATGAGGACAGTGGAGGACATGCAGGTGTGGGAGCTGCTTCCTCCACACGGCTCACCCCTCCCTGACAGAGGACATGTGGTGCATTGAGAGTGCTGGGCATTGAGGATACTCTGAGGACCTCATCCTTCAAGACACAATAACCTTTGCTCACCCTGCGGTTTGCCATATTCCTCGCTATTCCCCCACTGGATGCTTGTTGAAGGAACTGCAATTGTCTATGCTTATCGCCTTTCCGATATTAGCCAAATGGAACTCTAACCCTGGCAAAGGCAGCCTAAAGCCAAGAGAAGCTGTCATGTCAATTTCAGTTTAACCAGGTGTTGCTTTTGCTCTGTCAGTTGCCTCCCTGAGACTGCCTTTGCTTAGCAACAACCTCAGCTTTTCATAACAGCTTCTCCCTGAGTCTCAGCAGTAACTCTGGAGCTGCCAGCAGGAGGGAAGCCTCTCAGATTTAAATGGGATGGAAGGTAAAAATTCCCAGAGGTTGTGGGTTCCTGGAGGGTCTTAAAGCCTCTGGCATGACAGCTCTGTATAACGGCTGGGCTGCTAATCTCTTTCAACGTAAAGGGCTGCTACCCACATTTTATTGATATGGTTCAGCTACCTGCTCTTACTCAATAGTGCTGGGTTAACCAGAGAGGATGTGTTCTGGGCACGCATCTAGTCCTAGTGCTATTTGGCTCACCAGGAAATCTCACTTAGGGCTCGGTTTGTGTTGACCTCCCTCCATCCTTAGAATCTGTACACCACCATTTGCCATGTCCTCTGGCTCTGCTGTCAGCCTCCTAGGTGCAAAGCAGGATGGAGGAGGATGAAGAAGTGATTTGGTGGGGCAAAAGAAGGTGCTCAGTCCTATTCAGTTAATGCTTAG